TTGTAGCTCAAATATTTTGTTGAGCGTTAAGTTTGATAGTTGACCTAACAGTGGTCAAATTTGTGTTTGACTATGATGACATGGTGCCTACATGTCAGTCACGTAAGATGCCACATAAGTACCAAATCAGCAATATGTGTAATTTATTAAAAATTTATTTTCAATTAATTAAATTATTTTCCAAAAAAAAAACACCACTCGAAGCAAACTGCTCGCTCCCAAGCGAAATAACCATCTGTGGCAAGCAGATCGAGAGATTCACCACTCCGAGCGACAGATATTCATCTTCTATCTTTCTTATTGAGAGAGTCAACCCTTCGTTTTTTCCTACCATTTGATTGATGTCGCCGCTACAGAGATTCATCTTCTCCGTCTCCGAAAGAAATCCAGGTCGTCCCAATCGTCCAATCGATTTCTCCACTACAGTTCCAATCGATTTTGACACGGGAGTCCCAATCATCCCAATCGATTTCTCCAAGCTAGCAATTTGGAAATCAGCTCCCCATTCGTCCCTTCTATTTATCTCTTCTCATCCCTTCAAATCCACAGAGATATGCATCAACATGCACTTCACCATCTGTCTGTTGCTAGCGACCGCCATCGCGTAGAACATACTCTCCTCCCCCACCACCACGTTCACATTGTTCAGAAAATGAAACTATGAAGCATAGTGTTCAAGTGTTGAAGATGAAGGAACTGATGGAGGCAGCACTCTGCTGAAGAGAGGAAGAAGAAGATGTGCAGGGAGATTCAATCCATTTCGGTTCAGGATTGAAGCTCGGGTTCGACTTCCTTTAATCTGCCCCGGTTGGGCCAAAGGCCTGTAAATGAATAAGAAGACGGTGTCGTTTACTCCCTGCAACGACACGTTTCAGATTGATTGTAATTAGGACACTTGTCCTTGCATGATAGGCGTATTCATTTTGTTAGTTGTTAATAGTCGTTAGAACAGTGTTTAAGCAAATAGGTAATTGCAAAACTGATGTATATATGTTTGCAGAAAAGGAACGAGAGGTCACTCGCAGCATTCCACCAAAATCCTATCTCGTTTTACTCTAACTCTAGCTTTCATGGCTGCTAGGTCAAGAACTTTGTCATAGTATCAGAGACTGGTTGGCTACTGATTTCTATTCTTTTGCCTTAAATTCAAATTCCTTTTTGTTACCACCAATTTCTCTGTTCTATTCTTAGTTCTTTCCAATGTCTGATTCCGAGACTCCTAGAGGTGGCACATCTGAAAAGGAGAAGGAGGTTACCTCACCTCGTTATGAAGACCCATACTCTGATCCTTTCTATTTGGCTCAGTGTGACAACTCATTTTTATCAGTGATTGGTTTCAAGCTGAATGATGATAACTAACTCCTGTGGAGCGAGTCAATGGAGGTAGCATTTTGTACAAAGAACAAGCTAGGGTTTGTTCTGGGCACAATATAGGTACCTCCTCTTATAGATCCTTCATATGGCACCTCGGATTGTGTGAATGGCACAGTAGTTTGTTGGAGTAGGAATTATGTATCAGGTGATATTTTGCCTAGTCCGAGAAATATCAAAGTTGCTTCAGATGCATGGACCTTCCTTAAATCGAAGTTCATTCAAGGTGATTCTGTGAGAATAGCCAATCTGTAGGAGAAGATTGACCTAACTAAGAAAGGCAATCAAATAATTAGGCACTATTATACTGATTTGAAGTTGTTGTGGGATGAATATCAGAGTTATCTGCCTATTCTTTACTGTGATTGTGCATCTAGAACCTATGAAATTGTAATGAGGTACCAAGAACGAGGGAAGGTAATCCCTTTCCTACTTGGTTTGAATGAAAAATACCATCAAGTTAAGAACCAGATGCTTATGTTAGATCCACTTCCAGATCTGGATAGTGTTTTAGATCTGTGACTAAATTAGAGAGACAATTGAATAGCTCCAATTCAAGTGTTGGCAAGTCAGAAGAGGCTATTGCATTAGCCACTACACTTGCAAGAAGGACAAAGGACAACAGTCAGGTCAAGTGGTGGCTACAAAAGTCAGTTCAAAGACAATATGAGAATCCATCAGGAAGAATGTTTTGTCGTTACTGCATGAAGGACAACCATGTGAAGGAGAATTGCTGGAAGTTAAAGAGGAAGAATGGTCTACTGGGTAATAATCCAGGAGGCTCAAGTAGTAATGCTGGAAGGGGCAGAGGTTTTGCAGGCTCCATTGATGCGACTTCATGAGAGGGCACTAATTCAAGAAGAGCTAGTAATTATAATCCTACCAGTCTTGGTAGTCATCAAGACTCCACCTCTCCTTCATTTCTACGTTTTACTGTTGAGGAGCTTATCAAACTGAAATCTTTACTGCAACCACTTGCCTCACCCAGCTATGGAGGATCACATGTTAACTACATCACATCAAAAGACAATTCCATAACAGGTATCCTAGCTATGTCCATTGTGAAATCAAACTTTACTTGGATTCTTGACACTGTTGATTTGTTTTTAAGATGTACATTTGTCACTTTGCCTAATGGACAAAAAGCTGAGGTTACTCTTATAGGGATTGTTAGACTACCTTGTGGTATTCTACTCACTAATGATGTCCAGTTGCTTCCATCCAACGTCCAGTATCCGATGGCCATCTATGTGGGATACGAAACCTTTTCTCCTCGACATCAAGAGTTTTTTGGCCGCGGTTTCTAGTCAATCCGAGCTGACTCATTGATATGATGCTATGCATTATGAAGAATGGCGGATTGCCATGCAATGCGAGATTGATTCCCTCGTTGGTAATGGCACGTGGACCCTTGTCAGTTTGCCTCCTGATAAGCGTGTTGTCGCTTCGAGGTGGGTATACAAAATTAAGTTCAATGCAGATGGTTCAATCAAACGATATAAGGCTCGTTTGGTTGCCAATGAGTTTACTCATACTGAAGGAATTTATTATCATGACACTTGCGCTCTCGTGGCGAAACTGGTTAGTGTTCGTTGTTTGCTTGTTGTTGATGCAGTTCGTGGCTGGGTTGTCCACCAGCTTGATGTTGATAATGCTTTTCTACATAGTGATCTTCATGAAGAAGTATACATGCAGATTTCGCCTGGTCTTGTAGCTCCTGGTGATTCACGAGTATGCCGCTTGCATAAGTCTATCTATGGACTCAACCAGGCTTCTCGCAACTGGTATGCTAAGTTCACGTGCACTCTCATCAGCCTTGGTTTTCGTTGGTCTCGTGCCGATTACCAATGCAGTCAAAATCGAGATTACATAGAATCGAAAACTGAGGTAAAATCGGACTCGTAGATTAAAATTTTAAAACCGTAAGATTTTAAGGTCCATATTAAAATTATTACTTAAAACATCAAACACTAATAATAATGCATATCCTGAATAACAGCCAACTACATATCACTTAAATGATTATCAAGATAAGCTTCTCTGCTTAATAAACACAAACAAAACCGTAGATTTTTTTTCTTGTGCATACGATAAACAAAAAAGTATGCAACCTGAAACCTAATAAATCTCACTTAATCTAGTTAATAGTTAAGATTAAAAAATAACATAAGATCATTAGGATCAACATTAACATCTAAATCCTCAATATTGTCATCGTCACCCTCACCATCACTTTCATCCTCATATAATCCTACTAGTCTTTTTGCTTAAGCAATGATATCATTATTCTCGGGATCACTTATACTTCAACACCAACCATATTTCCTTGATCACCATCATCCTGCAAAGGTAACTCATTGATTGATGCATTCCCTTCCTGATCGAAAGAAGGACATGGATGGTGGCACTAAAGGTTTAGGAGACGAAAAAAACTTGCAAGGGGATGGAGATTGGGCTAATTGCAAGGGTGATGGGGGGCTAGTTGATAAATAGAATAATTAGTAAGACTTTGAGCTTGTTTCTTTTTGGCCTCTCTCACTCAATTTTTTTGCTCTGCCATAGATATAATGGGTGAGTGACAACATGTATACAAGATCCATCGATTAACATAATAATTACTTATTTCAATTTAGAGGTAATAATGTGTATTCACTATAAGTTTAAATCATAAGTAAACTCTCAAGTTTTCTTCATTTGACTCATGTGTGCATACGTGTATTCTTGTAACTTCTTGTCGATAAAATACAAAAAGCACAAAAAATTACCCCGTCACAACCAACTTAAGAAGCGGCATGACTTTCTCTTTTTCGCAAATAATACATGAAACAACCATGTAACCTTCGTAGCCATTGATACATATCTTTCGGATTCCAATTTTTTTGGGTTTATGCATATAAATATCCCAATGTTATACTTTATTTTATCGCACAAATAAACAAACAACAAAGTTGAGAAAGGGAAAGGTGAGAAGAAAATAAGTGAATCGAGTGCAAAATTTAGCTATTGAAGATGTCTTCATTCACAACCATATCATTCTTTTTAGCTTTCCTGCTTATCCAAACTTGTAGCCTCACAAGTAAGTGTTACTTCTCATCCAAATTATATTTATTATAATTGTTAAATATTCATATTATGGTATGTAGAAAGTCCTTACTTGTTTGGGCATTTTAAGGTGGTTTGGATGATATAATTAAATTTTCACCTTTGGTTCCTTGGAATTGGAGCCTTTCCAAATGAAGGTAAAAATCAACAAGTTTTACTTTGATTGCTTATAAAGCAACTCTTTTTTTAGTTCTTCAATTTTGACAATCTATGAACATCAAATTTATTAATTTGAAATGTTCAATCAATGAAATGAAATTCTAATTAAAGATTCAAATATCATCAAATAAATTTACAACTAATCTTTTAGATGAATTTTAATGTTAATTTCTCATAATAATAGATCTTGATATGTTCTTACAAAAAAAGCCATATATTTATTCACATTAAAAATGACATAAATACATGACCAAATATCGTGATGTGACTAATTAAATGATGGTAATAAGAAAATTAATACGCTTCGATGACCTATATGTGGTAAATGTAGCGAAAGATGAAAATCTCATCCTTTATTTGAAACACAGATGCTGAAAATGACACAAATGCACCAATAGAACCTGGTAAACCAAGATGGTGTGTGGCAAAGCCAGATACGGTTGATGACAAATTAAAGTTGATGATCGCCTTGGCTTGTAAGAATAAACAAGTGGATTGCTCTGCGCTTCAAGTAGGAGGTCCCTGTCTTGACCCCACCAATTTGCGAGGTCAAGCTTCTTTCGTCATGAATCAAGAGTTTGTAACACTCGACAGCTCAGATGCTCGATCATGTTATATGGGTGGAATTGGCATGATCGTCACCACCGATCCTAGTGAGTTACACAAAATTTTTAATCCTCTAACTATTGATTCAAAATATTCTAGAATTTTTTTGTTTGAGAGCCAGAAAGTTTACAAGTCTAATAATTTAATTGTTGGTGTTTTTTTATTTATTATGTATTTCAGGTTACGGTAACTGCAAATTTCCTCCACGCACCGATTAGACAAAAATTATGCACAAGCCAAATATATATCACACACATTTAATTTTATTTTTTTACATGTCGTATAATTGTGGCATAGTTTTGTTTCTCTCTTTGTCTCTTTTACTTGTTATATTATATTAATAATTCTACGGAATAAGTAAGAATTGAGTACAAAAACTTATGGAATGTCATATGAATGTACCCAAGTGAGTTGGTGTAAGAAACAATATATAGAGGAATAAATAAATTTATTTGTTACCCTTATTTTCATTTTTTATGATGTATCATTCTTATAATCAAAATATAAAAAAAAAATTAAGGGACGAGATGTTTCCTTTAAAATTTAAATAAAAGTATCTTAATTTGATGATAAATAAATAGAACCCTATCTCCTTTCTCTTCCAAGGCGACGGGAGAATGTGCGTGTTACTTTCCTATGGTCAAGAGCTAGCAACTGATACAGTGAGATTCAAATTAGATGGTCAAGACTCAAGATTGATGATGTTTATCCATAGACCATAGACTTTGATGAAATTTGGGGATTGCTTGTTTCTTAGCTTAAAGGGAGAAATCCCCCTTTGTTCAGCTAGAACGCTCTTGGATGGACATAAGTTATTGAGTTGCATGAAAGTGAGCCACAAACTCTTTTTCGTGATTGGGTGACTTAGTAGAATGATTAAATTTTCTTGAATACCTCGATTAGGTTAACTTGGTCGCATGAAAATGAGGTAGAGGGTAGGGTGCATAATCAGATTTACCCTCTGATTTTTGAGGGGACCCAAATCTAATTGGGGATCCGTTCACACTATCTTACTTTTTTGGATGACAACCATCTTGACCTAAACAAAATCCGTTCACTACAATCTCAAAGATAGGCTTAGAACTCATTTCTTACATCGCCAGTATCTTGACTAGACTTCCCTCGGATGCAAGCCTAAGCAATGGGATTCTCCTTTGAAGTAACTTCATCTCTTTGCCTGTTTGCTAGTGTTCCTTAGTCTAGTTACTCATTGTTGGTTAATTGCTTAGATTATGTAGTTGGAACAAAACTCTTTAAGTACCAATGGGATACGACCTTGCTTGCTGTTAGACTAGACACATTGATAGGTGCACTTGTCAAGACTTACTCGACACTCGACTAGCAAATACTGCATGCTACAGGACCCGACTGTTGAACTAAAATCAGAGTTGAAAGGCAAGCTGGTTTTCATTTTCCAATGCATTCTTGCTTCTGGTGAATGCCTCATTCGTTCTACATCTCAACAACAAAACGTGTAGTAGTGTACAAGTGTAGAGCAGACTCTGCCAAGCAAATCAAGGGAGCCGGAGGGCGTCTTTCTATGCCGTGACAAGAGACTTCCCAAGGATGATGTCGTCCGTCGAGAAATCAGCCTCTTTCCTGAATGTCCCCCTCCCAAAATCTAGCTCGTACGAATCCGTGAGACCCTCTACCAGGTCAAACTCCGGCTTCCAGCCAAGAACATGTTTCGCCTTGTCGATTGACGCAAAGAAATGCTGCAGAAATTCATCATCCCCAGAAACAAAAATCAAACAAGTCAGTCTGTCTTCAGGAAGAAAATCTGGCGGTTCAGAGAGTGTCACATTTTGCTGTTTATGAATGAATGTACCTGGTCGCGGAATGGGAATGCCTTCTTCTTCCCGAAATCATACTCCTTCGGGTTGTAATGAACAAGCTCGGGCTCTGGAAACCCACCAGCCTAGCAAGATAAATGCAGTACCGATGCTTCAGTTTTTCTCATATCAGCATAGCTTTTGGAACAGCATGATAATATGTTGCTCTTTCGTTGAGGTTCATTACCTTGGCGCATGCTCTAGCCAACCCATCAAACGTTACGTACTTCTCACCAGATATGTTGAACACTTCCTTGCTGGCCTTTTCATTCCCAAGCACCGTAATGAATGCTGTTGCCAAATCCTGTATATTAACAAGCCATGAATCATTTGTTTCATCTTCCTTTCTACAATATCGAATGCGTGATTCGAGGGAAGCAAAGTTTATACAATCCTTGACATGGCCAAGCTGGGTCATTTGGATCCCGGAGTTGGGAATTGGGATGGGGCGACCAGCCTTCAACCGGTGGAAGAACCATTCCTCCACAGGGTTGTAGTTTAGAGGTCCATAGATGTAGACTGGCCTTATAGATGTCCAGTTGACTCCCGTCGATTCGAGAAAGCTCTCCGTCTCGAGCTTTCCCTTGTGCCTGCTCTTGGGATCAACCGCATCTACCTAAAATCATAACCTTCTCCACATCAGCCAGCAGGAATTGCAACGATACTCATGTGCTCAGCAAGACAGCAAGTAAATCAGATCCCCAGCAGATAAGGGAAGTATATCACCAACCTCACAATGGGGTAAGAGATCAGATTTCAGGTAGACTCCAGCTGAAGAACAGTAAATAAACCTGAAAATTAGGCCCCAAAAAACCCCCCCACATGAGAAGACTATCTATTCACTAGCAGTGGATATTTAGTTACTGTGCAGATGCTTTCTACAATCATCACATGCAGAGCTCTTTGGTATACAAGATAACTTAAGGTTCATCACAACTGGCTAGAGAGCCTTACTGTTCTAGGTTTGGTAGAGCTTCTATGATGGGTTCAACTTCAACAGCCTCGCGTCCTGCAAAATACAAGGAGAACGAAAATGAAATGCCAAAACAGAAGATGAATCCAAAAAGGGGATTTGACCAGACACGAAGATATGGCAAGGTTATAATGCTACCATTGATATCATAGACAACATCGAAGCCTTTGGCTGAGAGGCTGGTCTTCACAAAGTTGGAGTCTTTCCTATCTCCTTTCAAATGCAATATCTTACCAAAGAGAAGCAAACCCAAATGAGCATTGAGCAATGAACAGCCACCACTTACATACACACAAGCCAATCGTGATGAATGGAGATTGTGGCTGTTTCAATGAATACCTTAGATGAGAAGTCAGCAAAATCCTGGTCTGATTCGCCTGGTAATTGCTGGGCAATCGGTGCCTTCCCTCTCGTAAACAACGTCACCTGCCAAAAGGGTTTTAGTTTTCAGTTGGGTATGAATGAAACGAGAAAACAAGACGAACGATGAGGGGATAAATAAGAAAATAGCAAACCTGATGGCCTTCTTTAACAAGAAGTCTTGACAAGAAGATACCAATGAATCGAGTGCCACCCATGATCAGAATGTTCTTGGAGCTGCTGGAGGCACTGACCTGCAATGCTCCTCTGTTTTGCAGACCCATCTTCCTCTGGAACTGGGCAAACACGAACAAAAACACAGGAGGGTGATTTCGTGTTCTGATAGGGCAAACGAAAAAGTGAAATTAAACGTATAGAAGAAGAAGAAGAAGAAGAAGACCTGGAGCTGAGAATGGAGGCGAGCGCCATTGAAATCAGAGAGGGAAGAAGTGAGAAGAGAGAAACCAGGGTGCGTGGTTTGTTGCTGTAATGAAACCATTCTCGCCATGGGTTTTTAGGGTGATCTCCTCTTCTTCTTTTTCCCCAGCGCCCTTTTCTGGGTATGCTGAAATCTGGGGAAAATTTTGACGCTGTTCTTTTATCTGAACCACAGTCCATGATCTTCTTCTATTTCAGTCTTTTCAAAACATTCAATGGGGATAAGTCAAATAATCACAACCTCTCATCATTCTTCCCGTTTCCCGCCCGCCGCTGAGAACATCCACAGTCCACACCACAATCAGCAAAACAACAAGACAGTTGCTTTGCTTTGCATCTCGCCAGTCGCTAGTCGCCACAAAACAGGGGAAAGAAAGAACAGAGCGAGTTCGAAGCGATTCCTGCAAGGATGGATCCATATCTGGAAATGGGCCAGATTTAGAAGCCTGCTAGCCCAGCTTTTCATAGGCTCGTTACTTTGGGCCTTCAGAAAATGTCTAGAGCCAATTTCGAATTAACCATTCTTTCTTCATTCTTCGCTCCTCCTGAAGCTCAGCGCGGAGAAGCACAAAACTCGACGTAAATCGTCCTGAAACAAGAAGAAGACGACGACGACGAAAGCAAAGGAACAAGGAAATCCATCCGCCATAACCAGCTCCCGGATCCACCAGTCACCAAAACCCATTAATGGATCTCAATCCGGTGAGTCCACTCTCTGGCTCTGTTCCTTCTCAAAAGAATTTTCATTTACCATGAAAAATGCGATTGCCAGATTCAATTCATGAACAATGCGATAATGCTGCCTAGTGCATAGTTTTGTTCTATAGGAATGATGATTGAGATCGAATCCGGGAGTAATTCTGATTCGTTCTTCATTCCTTCTGTTAATCAACGGGGGGGAAATGGGGATGGATGTTTTCGTGATTTGATCTAAAATTGAATTGAAGTGATCATTATTTACCTAAACTCTCTCCGTTTGGCTACGCAGCCTCCTGAGGAGAATTACGCCAACCCGAGGACTTGCCTCTTTCATGTTCTTTTCAAGGTGCATTCCAATTGTTCCGCTCCTCTTCTCTAATACTTGAATTCACCTCTAAATTAGCTCATGTGATGGAATGCGTTGGGTTGTGTTGGCATCGATTTCTGCAGGCTGCATCATTGGCATTCTACATACTCTCAGCGCTCTTCATTAACAACTTCGTGATCATATTCGTGGTAACTGTTCTTCTCGCCGCTCTCGACTTCTGGGTGGTCAAGAATGTTAGTGGCCGGATTCTCGTTGGCCTTAGGTGGTGGAATGAGATAAACGACCTCGGTGAGAGCGTGTGGCGGTATGAATCCCTTGACCAAGAGGTCAGGTTCTGCTGTAACTGAAATCTAGATCACATTTTCATCACATTGTTTAGTTTACTTCCCTTCCCTCGAGGATTTCTCTTGTATGAGCAATTCAATATGGTTGCTGCAATTTCATAAATTGGTTTTGCTTTGCATCAGTCGTTGGCTCGAATGAACAAGAAAGATGCATGGCTATTCTGGTGGACTCTCTATCTCACGGTAAGTAAAGCAAGTAGAAAATGTTGAGCATTGCTTTTGCAAAAATGATACAGCAAGAATTGACATTCTTACTACTGCTATTGAGCTGAATTTCGTATTGCATTCGTGTAATGTACAGGCAGTTTTGTGGGTCTTGCTTGGGATCTTCTCTCTGATAAGGTTCCAAGCCGATTACTGCCTCATCGTCGGTGTATGCCTGACTCTCAGTGTTGCAAACATCATTGGTTTCACCAAGTGCCGGAAAGGTGAGTATTTTACTGCTACTGCCGTTCTGCCTTAGAATGGTGATGTTAGTTTTAGTTTGCTCCATCTTGGGCTGTCCACTTCACTGCTCAAATGAAGAGACTCATTGGCCACCTACCATAGCCCTCTTCTTCATGACTTGATGCCTAATGAGTTGCTTCTTACATCAGTTCATCGGTTACCTTCTGTGCTGCGACGATAGCTGCAGTTCATCTCACCTTCTGTTCTGTGCTCTCAATTTTTAGTGATGGACGCAATGGTCTATTTTACTTTTCTGTTTATGGATTTGCAGATGCGAAGAAGCAGCTTCAGCAGTTTGCATCCCAAGCGATTGCATCTCGAGTCTCGTCCACCCTTCAATCGGCATTCACTGTTGTATGATACATGGTGTGAGCTGGGAGGGAAATACAATGGAGGGAGGAGCCATAGTTAAACTAAAACTTGGCCACAGTTTTGAGCAAGCATTGTAGGGGCTAGAAAAAGAAATTACTACACTATTATATTGGTTTTTCTTTCTGTTTGTATCATCTTTTTTACATGTATTGGCTTCTGGCATAAAGGAGAAGTAATGTTGGAAACTGTCTTTTTGAATGAAGTAAATTTTTTGTGCCACTTTTTGACAGGCCTTCTTTCTTATTTGATCCCTAATTCTGAGTTATGAGAAAAAACATCTTTTATCCCCAATATGTTGACTAACAATAACCGACATCACCGATTTATCTTTATCGAATTTGTTTTTATCTAAACTGTTCGGATTAGCATGTCAACTTATTAGTAATTAGAAAAATGATACGGATTCTACCAAAAAAAAAAAAAGAAAAATGATACGGATACTCAAATTAGTTATAAGATTAGCATGCCAACTTATTAGTAATTAGAAAAATGATACCGATACTCAAATTAGTTATAAGTAAGATGAAGAAATTGTGATTTCAAGTAATATAGGTTTGGACCAAATAAGCTGATGTGTCATGTTTGGACAAGAAATAAACTAAAATGAGAATCATATAACCTAGTCAAAGTCCATATACCATTTTATTATTAACTTTAGGTCCATATTTTAGATTTGGAGTTTTGGACAAAAACAGGGTAAAATACCTCGGATACCACTTAAGTTTCAGAATTGGGGCATACATACTACTTAAATTTGAATAGGACGTCGGGTACTACTGAACTTTATTATTTGTGCACCCGGTACCACTTAAGTTTAATGTTAAGTGCATTCCGTAAAAGTTAACAGAATATTTTTTGAATATTCTGTTTTCTAAATTTCTTAATTGGTCCTTCTACTTTTCAATTTCTTATTGTAAAAAATTACTTTTGACTTATGAAAAACATCAATTTTTATTATTTAATTGGTATCCTCTTTTGAAAACTTGATACCAAGGGGTCGTTTGCTTGTGGGATTTGGATGATGGATTTGGAACCCAAATCCCAAGCATCATGGAGTTGACACAAATCCTTTGTTTGTTGAGGGACACAAATCCGTGGGGTCCACGGATTTGGAGCCCTTTTTTTTATCCAAATCCGTGGACCCCACGGATTTGTAAATCCCACATTTCATTTGGGATTTGACAATAGAAGGAAAAAATGTGAGACAAATGCATTACAAATCCATGATAAAAAATCAACTAAACAAACAATGTACTCTTCCAAATCCATGATGGAACAAATCCATCATAAATCCAAAGGTTTTTAAAACTCAAAACCTTCATTTTCAAATCCAACAAGCAAACGAGCCCCAAATTAATTTTTGAATAGAAAATTTAAAATAAATTATGATTATAAGTATTTTCAATTATCATTATGTTTTCTAATAATTGAATTATTCTCTTTTTTTTTAAGATTTGATACCAAATCAATTTTTGAATAGGAAATGTAGAATCAATTATCATTATAAGTACTTTAAATTACGATTATGTGTTATAATAATCGAATAATTTTCTTAAGCAAATATATCCTATGAATTCTATATCGATATAAATAATATGAGGATGTTATATTTAATTCTCGTACATCATCTGGATGTTGTATAATTTTCTTGGTAACTTTCGTTCTATTTTTCGTTCTAAATTTTCTTCAATTACTGTAATATGTTTAATTCTTTCTAACTATGTTACATTTATCATTCTTTGTTCTTGATATATTGATGATCGATTAGATTCTATTTTAACTATTTTTAATGGTACTTCTTGTCGGATTACTGATTTAAATAGATCTTCTAATATTGATTTTAAATATTTATTATTATATTCTATATATTTATTCTTCTTCTTGATATTTGTTTATTATTTTTACTAACTTATCTATTTTATTGAAAATTTTGATTAGTCATTTTAGTAATATTATGTTTAGAAGGTTTTTTAATTTCTATATTAGATAAAATTTGTTGAAATATAGTTTTGGATATTTTTAAAAGTTTTGGGTACCAAAAAGTAATTAAAATGTTGGGTTGGATGAAAAACTAGACAGATGCACGTTTTGGTGACTTTAATGGTACCTGACGCCCTATTCAAACTTAAGTGGTATGTCTACTAGGGCTGGGCATGCGGGCGGATCATCCGCGGGTTTGGGCCGACCCACCCGCATTTGACCCGAATTTCGTTAAGTGGATGGGTCTATGGGTGGGTGACGGGTTGCGTTGGGAGCCATCCGCCGGGTGGTGGGTGGGTTGTGGGTGGGTGCGCTGGTGACCCGCTCAACCCAACAGCAAAAAGATCAAAGTTGTCGGCGCTAGAGAGGGGAGAGTGGAGACGTTAGACATAAAATAGGAATGCTCCTGGAGTTTGAACCTCAAAGCCAACCTTCCAAATAGCGATCCCCTCTTGTTCCCTTTATTTTTTCTTCTAATTCTTGTGCATAGATCACTGCTCTTTCCTTTGTGGAATTATTTTTCTTAGTTCCTTGCACCTGAAAATCATCTCAATATGTAGAAAACTCTTTCATAATAGAATTTCTATCCATTTTAAGAACTAATTTGACATTTTTCGCCCTATTTCATCTTCTTGTTTCCCCAGATAACTCTCTTCGGCTATTATCATGTCAAGTTGACTCCTTTATATTATATACATTGTGATGTGGGTGAACCCACAAACCCACCCAAATCATCCACCATCCGCCCGACCCAACCCGAGACTAGATGTGGGTGGGTGGTGGGTTAAAAATTATCAATCCATTTAAGTGCGGGTGGGTGCATTTTATGGTCAAAATCCACCCGACCCACCCAATGCCCACCCCTAATGTCTACCCCAATTCTCAAATTTTAGTGGTACCCGAGATATTTTACCAAAAAAACGTGACCCAAAATGATGGAGCCATTTTAATTCTCATTAATTTGTTAGAATACAAACAATTCAGTGACCAAATTGCTATTTACCCAAAGGTTGCTATTCAGTATTCAGTAATCTTTTTCGGTGCCAGACTAAACTGCTTCTCTTTCCGCTCTCTTCGAGCTGCTCAGCTTCGTTTCACTCCTCCGGCGAAACCCAGATCGTCTCGGAGCAAGCGATACAAAGGGAAGAAACAATGTTACAGTGCATATTCCTCCTCTCCGATTCCGGGTAATTCTCTTAATTCCTTTCATTCATTTGTTCAATTCTCAAGCTCTAAGGACGAAGAAGAAAAAAAGAGTCGAATTTCCTTTTTCCCCGATTTGATCTGTCGTAGTTGCGAGCTAAGAGTTTCAGCTTAATTCAATTAAATTGTTTGACAGAGAGGTAATGCTTGAGAAGCAGCTAACTGGGAATCGAGTAGACAGATCAATCTGCGTCTGGTTCTGGGATCAACTTCTCTCTCATGGCGATTCCTTTAAGGTAGCCATCCTCTGATTTTTCTTCTCGCGCAATTGATGAGATTGTCAATTTAGGGTTCACAAGATTACATTTTTTTTGTTCCCCTGCAGCAACAACCTGTAATTGCTTCTCCCACCCACTACCTTTTCCAAGTTGTTCGTGAGGGGATCACCTTCCTGGCTTGCACCCAGGTTGAGATGCCGCCTTTGATGGCCATTGAGGTGAAGAAAAAATAAGAACCTAGCAAAAACTGACTGCCCTATTCTTGTTCTAGGCCATTTTGACATTCATAAATCTCTAGTTCCTTTGTAGAGTGGCGGACGTTCTGTCGGATTACTTGGAAGGGTTGAATGAAGATGTGATAAAGGATAACTTCATCATCGTGTATGAGGTACTTGAATTGTGATTTTGACTGCATGCTAGATGCTGTCAATTTGGAATGACTAGGAACTAAGAACCATTTTTTTCTTCTTGCCGATTGTTTGACAGCTGCTGGATGAGATGATGGACAATGGCCACCCTTTGACTACCGAGCCTAATATACTTAGAGAGATGATAGCACCACCGAACATTGTCAGCAAGATGCTGAGTGTGGTGACGGGTAATAGTTCGAATGTGAGTGAAACTCTCCCGGGTGCAACATCATCTTGTGTCCCTTGGAGAACAACCGACATTAAGTATGCTAATAACGAAGTTTATGTAGACCTTGTTGAAGAAATGGATGCAATTATTAACAGGTCTCTCTTTCAGTTCAAAGTCTTGAACTTACTTCAAATTTTGATTTCCGCGGAAACGCTAAGCTATATTTTCATTTTGTTTTGTGTTGTCTAGGGATGGAATCTTGGTGAAATGTGAGGTTTTTGGTGAAGTTCAAGTGAACTCCCATATCACTGGGGTTCCTGATTTGGCTCTTTCCTTTGTGAATCCTTCTGTTCTAGACGATGTCAGGTTCCATCCCTGTGTTCGGTATCGACCTTGGGAGTCTTATCAGATACTGTCTTTCGTCCCTCCTGATGGACAGTTCAAGCTAATGAGTTACAGGTCAATTCTCATAAAACATGACACTTGTTGGTTTTTACAATCTCGTCTCGTTGTTTGTAGGAAGTAACTTCGTTTTTGCTTCTGTTCAGGGTGCGGAAATTGAAAAGCATTCCGCTGTATGTGAAGCCACAGATTACATCCGATGGTGGCTCATCTCGCATCAGTGTCATGGTTGGAATCCGGAACGACCCTGGTAAAGCTATCGACTCAATATCAGTGCAATTCCAGCTGCCTTCTTGTGTCTCATCGACTGATCTAACTGCAAATCATGGAGTTGTGAATGTTCTCTCGAATAAGGTACCTACTTATGTGAGATCCTACGAAGTGGTCTTAAAATTGATTTTGTTGTCATATTGTGTGTGACTAACTACTAATCTTGATGAATAAACTATTGACGAAGTGATGAGTTTTGATCATATCATTGTCCATTTGTGGAAGCTTGATGGTTTGTTCTTGTATAAAACTGCAGACATGCATTTGGTCTATCGATCGAATACCAAAAGACAGAGCCCCTTTGTTATCCGGGACATTGTTACTGGAAAACGGCTTAGATCGTCTCCATGTATTTCCAACATTTCAAGTAGGATTCAGGGTACAAGGTGTTGCTCTCTCAGGTCTGCAAATTGACAAACTGGAGCTCAAGGTTATACCAAACCGCCTTTACAAAGGTTTTCGAGCTCTAACACGAGGGGGGCAGTATGAAGTGAGATCATAGGTTGGATTTTTTCTTACATCAAATTTGAAGTGTTGGTGCTTTGAAGGGGGAACAATTCTTGGATCTTCATCTTCTTGACTAGTTGTAAAAAGGAACACAAACTGAATGGGGTAGTTGGTTATTTGAATGGATAAACAATGGAAGTCTTTGGAAAGCATGGTTTTTGTAGCATTTGGGGATTCAATTGTGAGTTGCATCGACCTAACGGTTAGTATCGGCCATTTTGTTGGGTCATGGGTGTGTATCATCTGCATTGAATCAGAAGTTTCTTGATTAATCAAAAGAATATACTTACCAAATCATCATGTATGAAATGATAAAGAGTAAATCAAAGTATGAGCGCTTTGTAGGTAACTTGGAATCCGCAATCCAAAAGGAATCCAAATGGGTTCATTCCCCGTTTTCCTCTCTAAATTCTTACTCAGCTCCTCTTGTTCTCTCATATTGCTCCTTTCTACGGAATTTGAACTCCTTTCAGCCAAGTGTTTTCAGATCACTAATAATCTTGGAGAAATGAGATATAAACAAAAACTTCTATATTTTGCAACAAGTAAATCCCATTGCGAAGAAGAAGAAGAAAATTTCTCTGTTCTCAACTAGGGAATACATAGGATAAGAAAAATTCAACTACGCTTCTGATGAGTAACTCTAGAGATAATAGCCACTTCATTTTGTAATATATAATGCAAAGCAAATCAAAGCCACTAAGAAGAAGAAGAAGATGGGAAAGGAGAAGGGAGTGGAGTCGGCCAAAGTGGGTTGTCACATATGATTGCCGATTGTTCGAGCTTGCGGTTCAAAGCTCTAACGGTGATGTCCTTGTCCATGTCCAAAGCTCCGACGACCTTGTAGGTCTTACATCTCATATCCAGTAGGGCCAACGACTTGTTATACCTGAGGTACACCTGTTCTGGATCATCCGGGTTCATAGTCACGAAGGCTCTGAACGAGATTCTTCTAATCTGTTGTTGAATGTGATGATCGCGATTGTGTTTGTTCTTAACACTCTTCATATCAAACTCCTTCACCGTCTCCCATTCATTCCCTGAAGCCCTATAGATCTTCAGCTTCATTCCATCAAAGAGCTTTCCTGCCCACAACTGGCCCTTGCTAACGCACATCCCATCAAATACCACGTCCTGAACAGTTCCCAAATTCGAAGGCCGTATGACCTTAATCACAACATCAACCACATTGTTGATGGGATCGTATACGATCGCTTGGGACCCCTTGAACATCCAGCACAAACGAGGGGTGGAATCGTCGCCATTCTTCTTCAACGTGACTGCAACGATAGTCTGCATTTTCTTGTCCGGCCCAAATGGCTGTGGGAGAGACGACACCTTCACAGCCATCCACTTCCAGGATTGGGACGAGAAGACTTGCAGGTCGAGGGAGCGTCTGCCTTGATAATCGAAGCTGAGGGGGAAGCGCACGATCTTGAACCAACAAACGCCATGGGAATCGAAATCGGAGACAAAGCCGACATGGGCAATCTCGTGGGAGAAAACCGGGGAGGTGAAAGGAGGCGGGACTTGAAGCCACTGCTTGGTGTGAGGGTTGCAGACCACATAAATGGGTGCGAAACCATCAAACGTAATCCCTGTAGGGCCTTTCGTCGTCGCGCTCAGGAGTGGGGCGCACAGGAGTAAGCCATTGGATGAACCTAGGATCAATTCCCTGAACGTGTAGTAATTCGGGACACCCCATGCCCAGCTATTCCTCACCTTCTTCTGGTGCTCAGCTGCTAGATTGAGAAGATCATAAAACTTAGTATCTCCGTGCAGTTGTGCAAAGTCCGGAACGAAATCGAGTGAGAATTTGAGCTTCTCACTCACCCGCTCGCCATGGTCTTCGTTAACGGGAATCAGGATCGGTGTTCTTTGGTGGGGATGAGCTTTGACACTGTAACTGACTCCATCACTCTTCTTCTTCTTCTTCTCCTCCTTCTCACTCTGCTTCTTCTCCTTGCTTGTGTAGTAAGCTGCAAACAGAGGGTTTTCGACGACAGACAGCCAGTGTTTGCAGACGGATTTGCATCGGAAGATCTGATCCAGTGGCAGACGCACCAGAATCTCACTCAACAAATACTCCCCAGCATCATTAATCATACAGCAACAAGAACCTCCTCTGTTCTTCTTGCTTTCCCCTGCCTCCTCCCCTGCCTTTTCCATCTACAAACCAAGCAAACCAACAACAATAACACCACCATTTGCAATTGTGATCAACTCATTCATTCATTCATTCAGGATTCACATGAAGAAAGATACCCAGCAAGCTATTCCTAAATCAATATCCGTTCTGAACCCTAAACAGATAAATGCCCAACCCTAATTCTCTGAGCTTTATCTAGAAACACAGAGCTGAAGAGGAAACATATCTAACCTGAGAGAAGGGTTCCACACGGAATAAACGATAAATCCTCAACCACAATTCTTATCTTTGTTTGTTTATATAGAGGTAGTAACAGAATAAAAGATTGGTTGCGAAGACCTCGGCACAGAGGTCAACTGGACTAACAAACAGGCCCAAAGGACGGGCTGACAAACAGTAAAAAAGAAAAAAGATGCGAACTTCACGAAATCCCACAATCATATCATCAAACGGAGACCTTGTTGACCCTAAACGAAGCCATGACTCGCCGGAGATCGTTCTCCTCCTCCATGAACACGCTCTCCGGCGTCTGCAATCTCAGCTCGTAGAGGCGGTTGTTCTCGACCCCCAGAACGGAGAGGTACCGCCGGTCCCATTCCTTCCGGACAACTCTGTCCTGAGGCATGACGGCCAGCTCGTTGTTGCTTGCATACGACTTGATGTTCACTTCCACTTGGTAGTACATCTTGCCGTCGTCGGCGACTCTGGAGGATGTGGAGAGGACATTGGATTCTCGCCGCACGCCGAGTCGAGTGGACATGAACTCCGTGAGGTATTGCTTCAGGACCTTGGCCCCGGCTTCTTCTGGGGATCCCAAATCCTCCAAGCTCTTGTACCTTTGGAAACCATAACAATGTGAATTGAGACTGACAATTTTCTTCTATCAGTGTGCACAATCAAGCTTCAAGCTCAAGATATTAGCTGAACCAAAAGAAAGATCCTATAACCTAAGTCATTCAAGCATTAGACTCTAGCTGATTGGTTTACCTGGAGGAGGAAGGAGAGGAGAACTCGACGGAGAGGTTTTCGTCGAGGACATAAGGGTCACGGAAGAAGATATCGGCGCCGGCGCCGCGGACCTGAATCCAGTTCTGCGGGTAATTGAAGGAGTAGCCGTCGAAGGTGTCGATGTATTCCCTCAGGGGAACATCCGCCGGCGCCGCCATGGCAGATTGAGGAGCGGTAGCCGATTCCCATAAGAGGGAAGTGGTCGCAATGGGTGAGAGTAAGATCAATGACAGGGCGCTTCTCCTCGGAACTGCAGAAACCTTTTAAGTCTGATTAATCACACCAGACTTGAGTAGGCAATCCATGGGCGATAACAGAATGAAAAGCAGAGGAAATCAGGGAGGAGTGAATTGATTACCTGGTGGAGATGGGATTTCGAGGAGAAGACGAGGGAAGTGGGTATTTGGGGAATGGAATTTTGCGGTGGAAGGGGACTGGGAAGGTGTTGAGGGGACGAGAGAAAGAGCAAAGTTGCCATTTTTGCTTTGAGAGATGAAGTGGGATAGGATTTGGGGAAGGGGAAGGACTAGGGAGTGAATGGAGGACAGAGATGGGATGGGAGGGGGGAACGGGGAAGTGAGTCTGGTGGCTGGGAAGAGATGGGCCGATTGGGTTGATAAGTCCATCTACAAAAGATATAATGGAGATTCATGGGTTGACAACTTGACATTACAGCATTTTGAATTTCCAACCCTTAGAGCACTTCACGGAGGGGCATTTTTGTCATTGAATTTTATTAAATGAGGCTGTGCGTTTTGATGCCTCTCCGCCCAGCATCTACATCAGGCCAACTCTTTAGTAAGGATAAGGGATGCGTCATTGGCCCAATACCCTGTATGCGGCCCACCGTTTTTTCGAGCCCAGTGCCCTTAAACACCGGCCTGGCTGGCGCTCTCTCTCTCTCCCTCTCCAATCTCGATTTCGCCCTCCCCGAGATTCGCCAGCGGATCAATTGTGCAGACTTATTTTATTTCACTTTCTTATTTGGTTAATTTATATATAGCGGTTCATTCCCTCAAGCAACCCAACCTATCTCCTTCACCGATTTCATTATCCACTACTCTACCAGTGAAACATTTTATTTTACATAAAACCCAATTTACCTTTTTCATTTGCTATATCCCTTTATGATGTTAAGGGATCTAAACTAAAACCAGCCTTTTAGCTTGAATTTTCCACACACACACAAAAAAAATGCTAGGCAGGGTTCCATATATTACTATTGATAATTGATGTAGGATAATAATTTCACTCATTTTGAAGGAGGCCAAATCGATTTCATTTATTAGATCGGTCAAGAAAATGTATTAAGAGTTAATAATCGGAAACTGGTTAAGGTATATTACTATTAATCATTGGTGTAGGTACTAATTTGACTACTTTTCAAGGTTGCCAACTCGGTTTCAATCATTGGCTCGGTCGAGAAAATGCGCAGAGTTAATGACGAAAATCGATTTAGCTCCAAGATATGGAAAACCCATTATATTGTGCACACACAACCACATATGTATGTATATATGTAATGTTTTCTATCGTGTTTTGCGTAAAATCAAAATGTAACGCATACCCTTGGTAAGAAATGGCAATCTAGATTTTGAATTAATCAGATTTCGGGACATGATACTATACCCTAACCCTTGACGAGTGAACCCTAAGTCTTAACTATTTAAATCATAGACCCTAAACTAAGGATTTTAAAATCTTATAAGAGGTTATAGCAAATAAGTCGGCGGTAGGGTATTTTGTGTCGAAACTGTGGTTTAACCGTGGTTCAACCATTTCATACCACTAAATAGTGTCTATCGGTTTAGCATCTGGTATGAGGTTTTCCTGTCAAACCCAGGTATGGTAAGGATTTTTTAATCCTTTCCCTAAACACCAAGATGATGCACATAATTTGTTGGATGTATTTCTACAAAACATGACCTTCGATTATTATTTCTAATTAAATTGATCTTAGTATATGAGACTCATAGAATTAAGACATAGATTTAATCTCTAAGGGTTTATGGTAAGTACCACGTCCCTAACTCCGATCAATTCAAGGTCTAGATATCATTCAAGGTCTATATATCATCTAATTATGTCATTTTCTTACTTATAGTTGTGTTATCCTGTCGGAAAGTCATTTGTTTTAAATGTTAGTTGGTCGTACTGCAATTTTATTAGGGTTGTATGTTGTTTGAAACATTTTGAAATTGATTAGTCAAATATTTTGAGTACTCCTATACTATTTAGAGGTAATACTCTATTTTGGACCGAACTTTGACGTAAATAACAATTTTGGCATGAACATTCAAACAAGGTAATTTTGTCCAAATTTTGAAATAAATTAACAAATTTGACCCGAAATTTGGGTTGATCGGTAATATTGATGGTTAAACATTTCTTTTGTCAATGTTAAGGTGCTTTTGATGTGGATTTCACTGATTCATGTCATAGGGGTGATGCGCTATTTTGCATGAACTTTACTGTAAGAAACAATTTTGCCCTAAACTTTCATATAAGACAGTTTATTTATTTATTTATTGGAACCTGTATTCATATTAGAAGAAAGAGGTTACATTGGGTTCAAAGGAGCCCGACCCAAATCAGTCTCCAAGGCGTAGAGCACAGACAAAGGAGGGTTATCCACCCAAACAAACTGATGATCCCAAATTCCCAGAGAGTGAGCCAACCAGTGGGCAGCTCCATTGTTTCTTCGAGGCGTAAACTTCCATTCGACTTGAACCCCAGATATGTTTGCATTTACTTCAGCCAATTTCCAAATCTCACCACACCAGCTACCCACTTCAGTTCTATCCTCCTCTTTCTTCCTTAGCTTTCGAATTAGCATCTGGCAGTCTGATTCCACAACCAGAGGGCTCAACCCTTTCCGATTTGCTTCCTTCAGCCCCAATATCATCGCTTTCGCCTCCGCTTCTATGGGTCTGCAAACCCCCTTTTCCTTCATCCCAGTCGCCCCCTTAAAATCCCCCCTCCAGTCCCGAAGAACGCATCCCATCCCGATTCCCGATTGATTCAGAATGCCCGCGTCGGTGTTTAGCTTGAACACCCCTTCAGGAGGCGGCATCCATCTCCTTGCATCAGCAGCATTTTCTTCGCGTTGATAAATTTGTACGAATTTTCAAAGAAATTGATAAATTTGGCCCAAATTTTAGGTTACCGTTAATATTGATGGGGATTGGTATAGAGAGAGATTGTTCCTTGCATTGGGATTTTTAGGGGCTTGAATCAATTTTTTTTAATCTAATTTATGCAAGTAAATATGAAAATATTAGGATAAGCTAAGTGTCATATTTTGTGGTCTCTTTTTTCTTCTGAAATTTTTCACTTTTTATATTTTTTTAGATTTATAAATAAATGATGTGGAAGCCACATCGCAACCTAAACCTCTCTATCACAACCGTCAATATTAAAGATCAACCCAAATTTCGGAAAAAATTTGTTAATTTGTTTCAAAGTCCGAACAAACCTATCTTATTTTGAAAGTTCGAGCCAAAATTGTCTTTTACGTCAAGTTCATGTCAAAATAAGGTATTATCCCTATGACATGGAAGCCACAGCCACCTTAGCATTGTATGTTGAACCATGGATGAAGAAATGTTTAACTATTAATATTGATGGTCAACCTAAATTTCAGTCCAAATTTGTCCATTTCTTTCAAAATTATGAATTTTTTTTTATCCACAAGTTCATGTCAAGATTGTCTTTTACATCAAACTTCAAGGCTAAAATAAGGTATTATCCCTATTATTTATTGTCAACTTATCAATCAAAGTAGCCATTGAAAGTGGCAGCAACACCGACTAAGGCAAACATATATAACAATTACCAGGGAAAACCATATATAACTCAAAATTAGTTACACTCAGTCTTAAGTTTGAAGCTCTCTTGAGAGCCCCGACTATTTTCTAGGCATCTTCGGGGACTACGGACTAGCATGCTTCCCCAACTAGCTGACCCTTATTTTACTATCTATGAAGAGGAATAATATTGAGCGTACCTATTAGACATCAATTACTACTATCTACGAAGAGGAATGACGTACCTATTAGACATAAATTAGGGTTACAAATGATCCCATTACTAAACTTTATGAGAGACCAATCTTTTTCTTTCCTCTTGAGAGTTCATTATGTATGTTTTAGGGAAAGCAACTCTAATCTTGAACTATATGCCCTTCTTATATATTGAAAACCGATTTTATGTATGTTTTTTCTTTTCTTCTTTGAACAATTGAATTTCTTTCTCCAATCGAATATTTTATCTTCTTATTATATTGTAAGCATGTTATATATGTATATTTTTGTCTACACTTTCCCGGCCAAGGGGCCGGGCCCGGTGCTAGTTAGTATTAGAGATGGCAATTGGATTGGATTCGTGGATTTGTGGATTGGATTGGTGAATTTACGGATCAAATGAATTAGATTCAATGGATTGGTGGATTCATGGATTGGATCAAATGGATTGGTGGATTGATCCATGAATCCAAATGACATCCAAGGCTTGAACCAAAATGTAAAATTTGAAAAGTTTTGGTACTAAAATGTCATAATGAAAAATTTTAGGTGCCAAAATGTAATTTTTCAATGATATTTTTCGTATGAAAATATAAATTTTAGGTACCAAAATGTAAAATATAAAAAATATAGGTACCAAATCGTAATTTACCATTTGGATCCATGGATTGATACATGAATCCACCAATCTAATTGGATTTGGATCAAATTGATTGGATTTAAATGGATTGGATCAGGTGGATAATTTGGTGGATGAATTGGATTGGATTCATGGATTTGGATTCTAATTGCCACCTCTAATTAGCATTGATCCCGGCTCGTTGGCCGGTACAGTTTTATAAGTGACGAATAAACTATATGAAACCAAAATTATTTTTTGCTCTCATAATTTCCAATTATTGACTTTGAAAAAAATGCATGTTATAACCAAGGATTGAAATACCGTACCGGAGGTCATACCGGAAAAGTCAGCGGTAGGGTATTTTATGCTAAAACCGTGGTTTAATCATGGTTCAAACATATTATACCGCCTACCGGTTTTGCTTCCGGTAGAAGGTTTTTCAGGTCGAACCGCCGATACGGTACGGTATTTTAATTCTTGGTTATAACCTAAATCTTAAATTGTAATGGGAGAATGATAAGAAAAAGGGTTAATTGCATGGTTGGTCACTGAGATTACCAAAAACCTTCATGTTTGGTCACTAGAAATATTTAAATCCACTTTTGGTCACTAACTTTACAAAACCCGTTCACTTATGGTCACTCTCCGTTAGCTGCCGTCCAACGCCGTTAACGGCGTCCGTTAAGTGATGACATGGCTGACGGATTTGCCTAATCAGCACCTTTTGACCCTAAAATTGACTGACCCGACCCGCCACGTCATTTAAACCCTCCATGTCAGCTAAACCTAACCAAACCTCTAACCAAACCAGACCCGACCCAACCCACCAACAGAAACGACCCACCCGCCACTAAACAAAACTTAATTTCTAAAACTCTTCAGGCCGCTTCTCCATCCCGCGCCGCCTTCATCTTTCCCATTCTTCTCCCACCCCCAACCTATTCCTTCAATTGGAGCAAAG